CTGTGTGGTGTATTATTATCATCATCATCATCATCATCATCATCATCATTATTAGGAATACAACAAGTTGAGTCCACAGCAGACAAAATCACTCTGTTGGTTGATATATTGGAGCAACCGATTATTATTATTATTATTATTATTATTATTATTATTATTATTAGGAATACAACAAGTTGAGTCCACAGCAAACAAGATCACTCTGCTGGTTGATATATTGGATCACATTATTATTATTATTATTATTATTATTATTATTATTATTATTATTAGGAATACAACAAGTTGAGTCCACAGCAAACAAGATCACTCTCCTGGCTGTTGTATTGGATCACACGTTTATTATTATTATTATTATTATTATTATTATTATTATTATTGGGTTGTTGTAGGTTTTTTCGGGCTATATGGCCATGTTCTAGAAGCATTCTCTCCTGACGTTTCACCTGCAATCATAGACCTCACAACCTCTGAGGATGCTTGCCATAGATGCAGGCGAAACGTCAGGAGAGAATGCCTCTAGAACATGGCCATATAGCCCGAAAAAAACCTACGGCACCCCATGAAAGCCTTCGACAATACATTATTATTATTATTATTATTATTATTATTATTATGCCAAAAGCACAGTATGGACAGAATATAAATATATTATTATTATTATTATTATTATTATTATTATTATTATTATTATTTGAAACACAACAAGTCCACAGCAGACAAGATCACTCTGCTGGCTGATGTATTGGATCACACGATTATTATTATTATTATTATTAGTAGTAGTAGTAGTAGTAGTAGTAGTAGTAGTAGTAGTATTTCCGTCTCTAGACTTGTATAATAATAATTATCTAGGTATGGATCAAAAAGTTTTGCCTCCTGAGTCCTCAAAACATTAGGAAAGAACCTAGAACAGCAGAACTTGCTCCAGATCCTGGCCTGAACTCTCCTCTACACACAAAACACACAAAACACCGAAATTTAAGGAAATCATGACTTCAAAACTGCTTGAACGTCATTCAAGTCGTGGAATCTTTCCCCCTGTTTGGACCTCTGAAACAAACAAACAAACAACAACAATATATTCAGATTGAATGACTTGAAGGACGTTATGGCTCAGCAGGAAGCAAAACCCAGGGATTTCCCCCAAACTTGTCGTCAAAGGCTTCCCTGGCCGGAATCACGGCGTTGTTGTGTGTTTACCAGGCTCCAGAAGCATTCTCTCCTGACGTTTCGCGCGCATCCATAGCTAACGACATCGTCAGAGGTTGGGATCCTCAGGATGCCCTTTCCCCTTCTCCTTAATAGGGCCAAACTCCTCTGCTCCCCCTTCTAGGACTCCTCCCTCAGAAATATACTTTTTATTCCTATCTCAACCAGGATTTTAACATTTTTTCTCCCTTTGTGTTTGATTTTTATTATGTTATTTTGCACTGTTTCGTTTATTTTATGTATTTGGTTGTGATGTGATTTTTCTGTTGTTTTGTGTCTAATTTTGCTGTATTATTTTTGGGCTGCCCCTTTGGGGAGATGGTGGCGGGTATAAATATATTATTATTATTATTATTATTATTATTATTATTATTATTATTATTATTATTATTATGGCCAACCTTCCCTTCCTCTTTCTCTCCTTTCCTCCTTCCTTCGCTTTTTGTTTCTATCCTTCCTTCTGTCTTTCCTTCTTTCCTTCCCCTCCTCTCCTTTCTTCCTTCTCTACCTCTTTCCCTCCTTCCATAGCTCCTTTCCCTTCCTTTCTTTCTCTCCTTCCTTCCTTCTCTACCTCTTTCTTTCCTTCCCCCCTTTTTCTTTTCCTCTTTTCGCTCCTTTTCTACCTCTTTCCTTCCTTCCTTCGCTTTTTGCTTCCATCCTTCCGTCTTCCCTTCCCTTCCTCTTTCTCGCCTTCCTTCCTTCGCTCCCTCTTTCCTTCCTTTCCTTTTTTCTTTCCTTCTCGCCTTCCTTCCTTCTCTACCTCTTTCTTTCCTTCCCCCTTTTTCTTTTCCTCTTTCTCTTTCATTCTCTACCTCTTTCATTCCTTCCTTCGCTTTTGCTTCCATCCTTCCTTCTGTCTTTCCTTCCCTCCCTCTTTCTCTCTTTCTTTCTCTTCTTCCTTCGCTCCCTCTTTCCTTCCTTTCCTTTTTTCCTTCTCTCCTTCCTTCCTTCCTTTTTTACCTCTTTCTTTCCTTCCCCATTTTCTTTTCCCCTTTCTCTTTCATTCTCTACCTCTTTCGTTCCTTCCTTCGCTTTTTGCTTCCACCCTTCCTTGTGTCTTTCCTTCCCTCCCTCTTTCTCTCTTTCTTTCTCTTCTTCCTTCGCTCCCTCTTTCCTTCCTTTCCTTTTTTTCCTTCTCTCCTTCCTTCCTTCCTTTTTACCTCTTTCTTTCCTTCCCCATTTTCTTTTCCCCTTTCTCTTTCCTTCTCTACCTCTTTCGTTCCTTCCTTCGCTTTTTGCTTCCACCCTTCCTTCTGTCTTTCCTTCCCTCCCTCTTTCTCTCTTTCTT